CTCCAGACACTCCTCCGAGGAACGACGGCGCACCTCCCGGTGCTTCTCCACCGCGCTCGGATTCGTACGCGGCGGGATCCAGTTGAAGGATACCTTGCCGTCGTACGGCAAGCTGGCGAATTTGCTGGGCGGACTAGGCGGTTGAGCCAATCGCAACGACTCCACGGTCCCGTTCTCCCAACCATAGGGTCGCTGGTGGCGGGTCTTCGGCTGTCGAAATTTAGTTCGAGTCACGACAGAATGTCCCGAGAATTGCGCGAAGAAAGAATTTAGCTGTGAGTAATTTGGAATCGGGAGAAATTAGTCGGGGAAGAAATTCGATCGCTCTTCCCTCGTATTTTTACATTTAATCATACTTAATGTTACCAATTTTCACCGTAATCAAGTTGAGATTCCGCTTAAGTAATTTTCAGTACTGAAAATTAAGTGAGGAATAAAAGCCCGTTATTTATTAGAGATATATAATTACTCGCGAAACGCCTACGAACTTTAATATCTTAGTCATTAACAAAAGTAATTTACTCGCACTTAAGCGAACAATAAGGTTCCGTGATTTAAAGGGTAATCATAAAAATCCTTCATCTTTTAATCGCTCATAATTCCGGAACTACGCTTCAGCGTTTTTATCGCAACCGAGTTTCAAGTTCATAGGTTGTTTCAAAAGTTCGAGGGGAAACCTGTGTGATTTCTCGACTCGAATTGCGAATTTAACGTATTTCAATATTCGTCCGTTATAAAGACATTCCTCTTAATTCCGGCTCGGTGAAAACCTCGCTCCTCGAATCGTACACGACTTTATCAAGCGGGATAGTTTCGATTTTACGCGGTCGTCTCGTAAACCGGTATCGTTACGACGAACGCCAGCGAGAAAGTCGTGGGATTACGAGCGCCCGGGCGCCAATCCGCGATACGTACGTTTCCGATCTGACTGAGTCGTAAGTAAGCCGAGGTGTTATCGACACCATCAACGAGTGAGAACCGGAGAGAAAGGAAAAAAAAAGAGGCAGGGGCGAAAAGATACTCACGAGGGTGGTTTGCGTGGTAACGGCGTTACCGTGGCGCATACTGTCCTCCACGGTCACCATCCACTGCTGCCGGCCGCTGACACTTCGTCGCTCCGAGGCCTGGCCCACGACGTTCCTTTTTGACGAGTTTCCTGGCGAAACCCTGGCCGACAAGCGAAATGAAAATGAATGGGACAAAGGCGAAAATGTATGAATCTAGCTGAGTCGAAGCGGCGTGTTAGCTTTCGCTTCATTTCGCTACCATCAATGGGATTTGAGACGATTATATAGAGTGTGCGTTTCAAAGTAAACGATGATGAAATATGTTTCCGATATTTCTCTCCAATGCTATGTCGCACACACAGTGATAAAAATCGTGAGATATACAAGCAGTGGATTTAATCACTTTGTTAAATATTTAAACGTGATGATGTATAATTAATAAGCTTCATGTTATGTCAACGTATTTTCCTACCGCTACGTAATTTTTAGCTTATTAATACATTAATAATTTATCAATGTTTGTTTTTAATTTGTTTTTAAAATAATTTTTAATTTACCAATATATTTGTTTAAAATACAGAAAAGTCCTTTTTCTAGTTTACGTAAACGTAAGAAAATATTGCTACGTATTCCATAAATGTTAAAATTCTATTCGGTGTGAAAGTAAAATAACGAGAAATAATTACGTCTTTCCTGACCTTTCAAAGGAGTTTTATTAAAACGTGTAACGTTTATATGTTGAATTAATTCGTGAATGAAACATGCGTCGCAGGCACAAAGTTTGCGATATTTTTCAAGCGACGCGCACCGCTTGTAAAATGCGAATCTTTGCAAAACGCGCGCGACAATACGTCATCAAGATATCCAACGGGCATCTACTCGAGAGAATAAAGTTTTTTTATCCTATTAACCCTCTTTCGACATATTCTCAAAGTTATCAAGTTGCCGAAGAAGAACGCATAAATTCTGACAACCTGTGCGGCCGAGTAACGAAGTCGCAGGAGCATCCAAGAAAAATAAGGGAACTTTCGGAAGGAGAATAGTGCAATAAATCTTGGCAGAAACTTATTGTCACTGTTACACCGAGCGATCGATCGACCGATCCGTTTTTACGTTTCTTCCCGCGAGCCGGCCCAGCTCCAAATCTGACCAGCAACACCATTGAAAATGGTGCGCAAACACAATTCTGATACTAAAAATATACGCTTTTTAAATAAATCGTTTAAAAGCGAGCTAATTTTTACCTTGCAACTTTTGCAACGAAATATGTTATTTTTAAGCAAAAATTCAACAATTAAATTAGAAGGATCAATCTGAATCTCGACTAATTTATAAATAGACCTACTTTATATCGTGGAGTGATAAATAGAGTTACAGAATACACAAAGCTAATTTATATAGAGGTGATATGACGATATATATATATATATATATACAGCTGCGAGATACGCGGAGAGATGATTTATAAAAGAGAAGGAGGAATAAAAAGAGGAAAGAAGTCGCGAGAAGAGACGTCGAGCTCTCGCGGATATTTTCCACCACGTGCGCAAAAACGAAAGCCTCTCTCGCGCGAAACAAGTTTACCGCCATGCGGTGTGGAGGAGTCATTCTGATTTTCTTCCATCAACGACAAAGACAACGACGACGACGACGATGATGGGTACAAGAGGAACGTTTTGCGCCAGAATGACGACCACTCTACAGAGAGGAGAGGTTTTCACGGATAGAAGAGAGAGAGAGAGAGAGAAAAAGATAAAGAGGCGCAGTCCGCGTTTCGAGAACGGTGGAGAGCTCGAATGCACTTTGCAGACTACGAAGACGTTTCTCTCCCATAGATAGAACAGGTAATAGGCATGAAACATGGTGATTAGGATCGACGGGTACAAGGTACGAGGACGCTCTCGCCGCTGTCGATGGCTTAAGAGGAGTCGCGACGACTAACAAGGACAATTGCGGCTTCGATCGTCCCAGAGTCGGAAAATTCCGTGAATAATCCCGCGGTAATCACACTTAAAATTAAAATTTTTATTAAAGAGATTACGTATAAGAAAATTCATTTGAGTTAAAGTAATGCCAGCGACAAATTTTTCACATACTTCTTGAATATTCTTAACGTGATTATTATTATGTTCGTGGAGAAGATAAATATTAAGTGATGATGATTAAATATGCAAAATTTTCATTTATGGGATTAGAATTGTTATAGGTATAAATCTAACTTTATAAAACCAAACGAAATGATTGATTATAAAGAATTGTCAAGTTTAGAATAGGTCAATGAAGTTAAATTAAAATTGACGTTAAATTAAAATTTTTCGAAATATTTTCTTCACTATTTCGGTTCACTATCTCTTGTTCAACAAATATTTTCTTCCGTTTTTTGCTCGCTTGCGGCAAAGTAAGTAGTCGAATCTCCAAAATGTCCACAAGTCGGTTTTTAGATACGCAACAAACCGGACGAAGAAAACCAAACCATTTATGAAATCGGTTCCCCAATAGTTTCCCAGAGAAACGAGCTTGAAAAAGGAAACTACGAGACTTGTACGCGACGGCGCCATCGTCGTTGTCGTTCTCAGTGCATTTCGTCCTCGTCGAGGAGAATGCAATCGGAGTTATACGAAAGTAGTACGAATACAGGAAGAGGGAGTTTAACTTCGGACCGGCCGGAGAGGGTGGAGGGTGTTTCAGTCTTCCAGTCTTGCTTGAAGTAACAGCGAACGGGGTTGGCGAAGAGAAGGGATTGCCGGACGAAATGGCACCTGGTCCTGATGAAACGAAGTTACGGTCCGGAACTGAAGCTGAAGATATGAAAAAGTTCGGGAAGTCGTCGCGCGACAGAGGAAGCGGATTCCGCCGCCGTCGCCGCCGCCGTCGCCGTCGCCGCCGCTTCATTACGGAAACGGAAGTCCGTCCTCGGCCTTGAAGCGCGTTGAAACGCGGAAGAGGATACCCGCGGATACGTGAACGACGGACAGAAATTTAAATAGACGCGAATCTTCCTACGCTTCGAGATCGAGTAACTCCATGAGTTATCGTTGCTTGATACGTGAGCGAAATTATTTACAGTGAGTTTTTCGAGACGGAGAGCGTCACGTGTGATATTCCACCCACGATTTCGCTCTTCAAGAAGTATATCTCTCGAAGAGCATAATTTGTAAATTTCGACATCACTTAAAATGCGACTGCATTGTTGCGCGACTTATCGATGGATTCTTCGACGAATTTTAAATCGATTTCTCTTTTACAACTTTCAACGTTAGACATCTTGGCAACTGCAACGCAAATTAAGATCTCAAGGAAGTAAGACCCGATTAAATTTAAATTTAAGTAAATCATACCTTCATGGTTAGGTAAATTGGGAAACACCGGGTTAGATATTTAATATAATTTAATTTGAAAATAATTATGTAATGAAATCTTAGTAGCATTAAGTTATATTTTTTTTTATAAATATAAGACAACATTTATGGCATCATTTTTTATTCTAAAATCTTTCTTAGTAGATGGGAGAAAAGGTACAGAAATTAAAAGGTACGGAATTACGGTTTGACGAGCGTGAAAGAAAATTTCTCGCGATGATCGACGATCTTACACGGGAATACTTACATCGGCAAAAGGGTCGAGATGATACGTTCGGCCTCTTCCGGGGGTGGCGGGAATTCTTGTGTCGAGACACCCGCGGGATCCTGCGGCTCCGGACAGTCCGGAACCGGACGTAATGCTACCAACGCCATCTTCGCTTTCCGTCCATTCATGCTCATGTAGCCGTCGTCCTCGGACTGATGTCCTGCTGGCATACGTTTCGCGATTACGAAAATTTTCCTAGGGCGGGGCACAATGAGAAACGGGGAAAGAAAAAGAAACAGATGGGAGAAAAATCCTCGCTAGAAAACGACTTAATCCAGCGAACTTTCGACCTGTCCTAAACACGACGTCTCTATTACGATTCTTTCCGAATAGTTTCCGAAATTCGAAGAGAAATTGCATTACCCCTGTGGATGTTCGGTGCTTCGTGCAGTAGAAACGTAGGTTGCCGCCCCCGGAAATACATTGGCGCGCGATAAAATTGTAGCGGACGCTAATATCTCAAACTCCTGAAAGCACTTCGCAGAAATCGAAGCGACAGAAATCGATCGAGTTACAGTCGTTTCTACTTGTAACGTGTATTTTTGAGCGTTGTATTTTTATCCTCTGACGTGCTCGCGTTAATAGTAGTATGGAATTACGTCATTCCGGAACGTTTCGCGGAACGTTATCGCGATTAAAAGCGCGAATGTTGTGACGTCGATTCCCCTTTTTCCGCGAGGGTGAAAAATCCCCCGTTAATCACCCACCACCGTTCGCAGGTGCATAGCCGAGTGAACGCTGTCGATAGAATGCCGATTTGGAGTTTTCGTGAATCGTGTACAAGAGAGAGAGAGAGAGAGCTTCGGCCCTCCTTCTCTCTCCCGTGAGAGCGGCAGTGTATATGCTTTCACGCCGATTTTCCGCGAATTGAATGGCAGACCGCCAAGTCGGCAGGTTTATATTGTACGTTTCGATGGAAATAAAGGGGAAATATGTATTCCAGAAACCGAGGAAAACGACGGCTGAGTCGAAGACTCCGAACGTCCGACGAGCCACCGACCCGATAGGGTCGAGACTGCATCCAACGATAATCTTATCCGCCCGTCTCTTTTTCTCTCGTTGCTCGCAAAACGTGTTTTCTACGAGCTTGTTTATACGTGCTTTACTTCGCATAAAAGCCTCATGTGATTTTTCCAGAATGTCTGCTTCACGAAGTTCTTTAAAAATCCCGCTGGTCAGGGAACAGACAGGGAAAGAATTTTTTTTTTTTAATTACAAAATGAACGAATTTTTAGATGCGTATCTAAAATTTGAGATAATATTGAGTATTATTTAAGTCTTCTCTCTCCTTTCATTCGTTCCGCATTCAGCAGAACCTCGTCGCCCATAGACGGACCTACAATTACGAGTTCGCCACGCGCGAGTTTGCCCGGGTCCGACGTGCACGAGAGTGTAGGAAAGTTAAATATCTTAGTCCGGGTGACGAGTTAAATCACGTAAATCGCACACCACCCCGCAGGTGCGGGTGTACACAAACACACGCACACACTCGCTACCCCCCCTCCCCTTCTCCCTCCCCCCGTTCGCGTTGTCGCTCCGCGACGACTTTCCGCGACAGCTCGCGCTCGGTATGGAACTTCTGGTGCTTCAAACGCGCGAGCAGATATCTTTAGAGAGGCGGAAATAGCGTGCAAAGTTCTAGAAAGAGGCGTACTCGGTTGTCACTGGAAATTTACTATCTTCGCCCTGTCGATATAAAGCGGCGCGCTTCCTTCCTCGTCCGCTTCTTCCACAAGTTCGCGGAGCGGATTCGCTTCCCCGGCGAAAATTTGTCGCGACGCGATCATTTGTCGCGATCTTCCGAAGGCTAGCTTACTTTCAACGTAGGGGACAGATTTCATTTTGTAACGAGGCGGGATATTCTTTCGTATCCGGGGAAACTCGAAACCGAGTTGACGTTTCGACGACGGAACGCCACGCGTTAATGACTCGACGACTCCGTTCCGTTCCTGTTGATTGACACCGATTTATTTATTGCCACTTTACATCGCGAATAAAGAAAACGCAACCTCCGATAAATGTATTGTTAAGTTACGCTCGCCCGATAATGCCCGATAATAATTCACGTTTCCGAATGCCGTGACGTAACTGTGGAACTCGCAATTTGCGGAAATTGCGAAATTGACGTACGTACGAAATTCCATACGGGAACGTGCGTGACATGCAAAGTACAATACGCGGCGAATGAAAATTTTTTTCGGCTGGCTCACAATTCAGCGGTGTTTCCCACGCTCTATCTGTTTCGTGACGAATATCCGGCGGAGGGGGGGAGGGGGAGGAAGGATCGGACTAATTGTCGCCGTCAGGTCTGTCAGTTTGTTGGCATATGTACTCGAGATGGTATTGATTTCCGTGGCAATCAGATATTGGCCAATTCTACCGGAAATGTTCGTCCGCGACGTCACGCGGAATCGCATGGAAAAAATGAATTCAAACATTTGTGCAAGAGCCGTGCTTTTTGCAGCACGGTTTTGATAAGTGCTCTCAAAGACATAGAGCACGTTTCCGTACAAAGAGTGCAGAGCGCGTTGTGAAAAAGCGCGCGCCCATTTCGAGGGACGACCGAGCCGTAGATCGCGCCGAAAATATTCTCACAGATTCTCTTACCCGTTACTCCACGTCAAACTTTTGGCAAATTTTTTTGCGAGAGCAGCCTGGATTCGCGCATTCATTTAAAATCGTCACGCCCATTTTAAACGACGGATTTTTAAAATTACCTCTTGTAATTTCAGATCGTCCCGATTGATTTATCTCGGAATATCCGGAATAATGAATCTACATTAGGGTCTACATTAGCGACTCGCAAATCTGTTTTCTATTACAATTGGGATTAGGATTTAGAATCTTACGTGTATGATAACGGTGTAAACCACCAAGTCTCGAGGGATGAAGGATTCTGCGGTCAACGTACCGCAGAATCTCGAGACCCTGCGACGCGATGCCTGCGGGCACCCGAAGGGTACGAACGGCGACGCAAGGACGCAAGAAAGATGCAAGATTGCAACGGATGTATAAGGATACCAGCAGTCGAATACTCAACCGCGCGGATGTAGAAAGTTTTCCGAAAGCTTTCGAGGCTGACATCCGTTGTCGGATTTTTAGCGATACAAATATTTTTCCGCCCGTATTGACACGCGACGCTCCGAGCCGGGAAAGCGTTTCTCGCTTTTCTTTTTGTCAATATTTTTTTTTTAGATGAAAGGAAAAAGATTAGCAATGAAACATCGGGACTTCCAAGTAGCGAATCTCCCTCGCGCGAACGTTACTTAATCGTGCTCGGCAAATACGAGCGAAGTCGGCCGTCCCACGAGGAAATAAGAAACGAGGAGAGACGATAAAAA